AGAAATATGAGTGCTAAAACTACATAATTGTGAAAATTATTCGAAGGTGGAATCCTATCTTAGATTTGTCTTTGATCGTTAGAGGTTTCAAATTTGCTTGGTCAGCATAATATAACGTAAATTTAGCACTCAAGTTTCTAATTGTTTTTTTTAATCTAATTTCAATTTAATTTAACACTTAAAATTTGTTACCAAACATTATTTGTTAAGAGATAAAATAATGTTTTTGACTGTTGTCTTTCATTTGTACCAACACAATATATAGCTTAAATTTAGTATTCAAAAATTTGTTCATTTTTCTCTAATAAAATTGATTGTTTACAAAGTTGAATGTAATTTTTTTTTTTAGTCTAGAGAATGTAAATTTTAAAAATTCAAATTTATTGTTGAATATTTTTTTTTCTAATTTTATATAGTTTAAATTGTCTAACAGGTTATTAATTGTTGAATTATGTTGTTAAAAACCCCTTTGAATGCTAAACTGCATATTTCTGAAAACAATTTAAACGTAGAATTTATAGTATTTACTATTTAAGTCTTTAATAAAGGTTAAATTTATTAGTTTTTCACGAAATTCATAGTCATATATCCTTGTTGATCCACCGGATTACATCAATCCCCCAATCTAGCGTCACGAAGGAGGAAAATTTCCGAGACTGAGAAGGGAACGAATGGATAGGGATAAGCTGATTGACAGTTTTCTCTGTGGCAGAGGATTTATTTTCACGGCGGAGTACTAACCAGAAGGGGTTTTCTTTTTACGGTTCGTACTCCGCTGTGAGTATTGGATTCTGTGCCATACGTAGAATCGCCCTTCGGTTCGACCCATTAGCGATCGCGTCTTGTAGAGCTCATGGGACATTACGAGATTACGGAAACTCTTGGAGACAAGAGATAAGGCTGCGTGGTCTGATCTCGAGACTCGAGCTAAGCAGCTCAAAATCACTTCATCTGGTAACAACGAAATCGACGGAGATGTTTCCTCCACCTTCGATGGCTCTTTGGCGGCAGAATACGACATCTTCTTATATTTTTAAGCAAAAGATCCGAAGAAGGAAGAATTTGTTCGGCTTAAATAGTAACCAACACGAGTTAGAAGGCCCAACTCAAGCCCACTAAGCAAAGAGTGGCTATTAGCAAAAGACATTGGGCAAGTGTTATTCACAGAGGAAGTGTTTATTATCAAACATTATGAAACCTTAAACAAAACAAAAGACTTGAGTTTTTGAGGAAAGATATTCTAAAGAGAGACAACGAAAGAGAGAAAGAGATGTTACATATGATTGAAGCTGTTATCTCCGTTTTGTCTCACTCTCAATGTCAAGTAGATCAATATCAATGTACCCACACTTGATCTGCACAATCCAAGAGAATTTATAGTTAAATAGCGCGAACTGTGTCGTGCGTGTATATATACGCATCTACAGGTTTATATACTTACAAGATGGAGAATAGGATGACGATTTTCCTTGAATCGAATGAAGCAGCACGCTTGTATCTTCTCCATCTGTTTGTTGGTGGATCGTGGCATCGCTCGGAGATAGCTTTATCTGCCAACACAAGTTTCTCTCAAAGTTCATTCATCAAACAAATCTTTAAATTATGCAACTTTACGCAAATGTTGTCATCTTACCAGTACTCAAGCTTGCTTGTCTCTGCAAAATCTTTTGCATGTGCTGTGAAAGACATAGTAACCGCGTAAGAGTGAGACATCCGGATATGGACCAAGCAAAGTACACAGAACTTACTGCATTCTCAGATTTCACACTTCCAACAACTTCGTCATGGGATGTCACCGTCTCACCAGCATTCCCTTTCTCGACGTTTATGTCCACAACGCATGATTGGTAGGAATCTGTGCCTCCCAGTAGCACATTGATGCGGTTCTGCGTTTTCTGACAGTTGAGTTGCGCATCGATCAACATCTGATTTTTAGATGGAAGCAGAGCCTTGACGAAGCTCAAGAGAGTAAACTGCGAGGTACACTGCGGGATCGTATTCCCTTCATCAGGTAGGACTGAGATAGTACACACATCTTGGACCTACACAAATGGCACAGTTTGCAGGACTTAAACACCTAGAATGTTTCAGAACATCTACTAACTAACATATATCAGGCCTCTATCAAAGTGAATGGACTTGAGTTAAAGGGCTTCGGTTTCACTCCATTAAAGACTTGTAGTAAACTAAAAAAAACTGACCAGTGAAGTGTCGATGACACGGTCTTCTTTCAAAGGAAATGCAGCCTCCTTGCCAAGAAGAGGAAAAACATCTGCATCGCAAAACAAGAAGGTCACATCATTACTCATTTTGAAACTTGTAAAGATACTGAATATGAAACTGCGTAATCCTTAGCTTTACCTATGGAGCTATGCTTAGGTGCCTTGAAGCTTGGATACATGACTTGAGCGTTACCGTTATCTGCAACACTTCCGAATTGCTGCTTCCCCTGTTGAATATATATCACAATCATGATCCCAAACATGGAAAGATCCAACCAAAAGGCTTCACCAAAAAACCATCAAAAGAGAATTAACAGTAACACTGTACAAGCTAAGTAGTCTCTTAGATTAAGTAGCAAAGTGACGACTACACACTAAACAGTTTCCCAGATTAGTACTTCCTAAAAGCTTTCTCTTGATCTCTGTAAACAAAGAAATAGACCAAATGCAGGAAGATAAGAAAACGAATCTGAAGAAGCATAAATCTCAA